TAAGAATCGTTGATGACAATTTCTGACATCAGAATGGTGTCTTTAAAAGTCAGGCAAGGCTGTAAATAGACAGCAAATTATACTCATCACTGTTATGCCGAAAGAGAAAACAATCCAAAAACAATCAGACATTGCGACACTAGAGCATAAAATTCATTGCAAAACCAAATGCCTTTAACAAGCTCTGGTTACACCAATTGAACAATTTGACCCAAATGGGCATGGCACTTAATGAGTGAATAACAACTAACTAACTAACGTTATACTTTGTTCGAACACTTAATAACTAAATAATCGTCTTTAACTTATGGCAGATACATATTCTCTTGTAAGTTCTTAAGAATTTTAAACAGTATTAATTATAACGAAAGGTCCAAAAAAATTTGGGATGTAAAAGTGTCAGATTCGTACTCATGCGGAGTTTGAGTCACACACATACAGAGTGTCAGTCACAGTCATACAAGGTATGAATTACACTTATACAGGATGTCAGTCATACTTATGCAAGGTAGAAATCATATTCGTAGACTTACACAGAATATGAGGACATGCCAAATTTGGGACACACTCACAATGTACTTTCCATACACATCTGTCATCGCTGCAACATAAGTGCATGAGAAGTTAAACTTTAAAATCTGGCTAGCTGTTCAGGAATTCAGTGTAGTATAGATAGACTATGTGATGCGTATCGCTTGGTTAGCAATTAAGTTTATATTTTATTTTTTTTTAAATAATAAATAATAATAACGCACACACTCAACATAGCCCCGCACTAGGGAAAACCCTGTGTCGCGGGTGCCATGGACACACACATAGACAACCACAAATTACACCCAAACTCACGAGAGAAATAATTGTAGGCCATACAACTATTTCTCCCGGCCCGGGAATCGAACCTGGGACCTCTGCGTGGCAGTCCGGCATGGTAACCGTTCGGCCACGGAGGCAGTTACTTTAAATTATTACTTATTTTAAATTATTTTGTCACTTATATTCTGGAGACCGAACGATAAACATGGTCTTTTTAAAGCAACGTATTTTATTGCCACCTACGTCCATCTTAATGATGTGAGATCAGTGCCACAGACATTTTCGAATCCGAAATAATGTTTGCATATTTTTTAAACATCTTGGGGATATCTAATAGCTGCAACTGACACAAATGTCTTCGTTTTTCTAAATCAGTGTCCCGAATAACAAGTTTTCGAAAACAAATTGTTGGTTATTCAGACTTATCATTCCATCATCCCCGTCGGTCTCCGTTACTGTGGCCAATAATGTTTTTTTGTTTCATTTCAAGTAATTAATAGATTCATACGTTACTTTGCGGAAGTCTATGTTAATAAAAATGGTAGTAAATTAATTTGCTACTCCGCGAACCCAGTGAAGGTTAAATCGTGCAAAATAGCTGCGCTTCTGTTATGCAGTTAATTTTCCCACCCTCCCTCCGCATAAAATTAGTAAAATAAATAACACAAGCGATTGATTGCTCGATCCTCGGCCGAAGAAGGAGCTCGTTCAGAACAGTAATTAGGTACAACAACAGGGATTGTATAATAAATGAACAATTGAATTTTGCATCATGACCTTTGAAAATATTCAACACAAGCGCAGCTATTTTGCACGATTTAACCTTCACTGGGTTCGCGGAGTAGCAAATTAATTTACTTCCGTTTTTAAATTCTCCCAATAGCTTATAAAACAAACTGGTGACCAAGCTAGTTTTAAAAAAAACCTATATTATATGTACCAGGCCAAAGTATATGCGATATTCCGTCTGATTATATAAGTATGACACGTACCCTGTTTTACAATGACTCGCACCCCGCATAACCGTGACTCAAATTCCGTATGAGTACGACTCATACTACTCGTACTCGAGTCTGAAAAACTATATGTGTATTAGAAAAAAAATTAAGTAAGTTTTTTTTGTTTTTACATGCTCTGTATTACAGTAGACGCCTTGACGTCGAGTTGCGGACACCAGCCCGTTGCACCAAGTACCAAGTACCAAGTACAGTAGACTTTCCCGTCAATCGACAGTCGATTTCATAAAATCCTGTCATATAAGGGAGAACATGTATTAGCCATATAATTTAATTGCATATGATTTACCTACGCCACGACCTTTAAATACATCCGTTTATTTTATTCACTAACATAATTGTACAGTGTACAGCACAAATAACACTTAGGATTATACAAAGTATCCTCTAAATACGGCTCATTGTACTGTAAACTGCATTTTCAAGACTTGTCTTCGTCATGTCGATAAGTTTGTTACTATTTTCATTTTATAATGCGAACAACACTGCCGATATTCCGGCAAAACAAATTCAGTTTATCAATGATTATTGTTAAAATATTGGTAAGCAAAATCAATTCGTCTCACGTCATGAGATAGCGAACAATATTTTTAATAGTAAAAATTCAAGGTGCGAATTTGCACAACACGTATTATTCGAATATGATTCCTGTTTTATTTAAAATAGCAAAGCGTATTTACTATATTACTTACATTTAAAGCGCGTTTAAGCTTTTGATATTTAAAATATATATTACAACATATCCATGCTAACGACATGGCAGCCACCATCAAAGGTGTCAGCATGATGCCAATTACATCAGTTCAAGGAGTATTTCTCCCAACAACCTATAGGATTTTGTTACAAGCTGTACAACTACTTTTTTAATATCTCTCGGCTATTTCCATGTCTACTAATCATTTGATTTGATAACACTATGTAAGGACGCATTCCCATTATGACGACTGTCACGTTCCCATATCACGACTATTTGTCGTGACTGTGTTGTGGACGTTTATTTTATCGTTGAACAACAATCGTGTCTATATGTTTCCACTAGATCGTGACGACAAATTATCGGTTCACGGCAGCCGTCTTGTCGTTTGCACGACAGAATCGTTTGAAGTTGCGATTATCTGTCGTCACATTGTTATCGTGACGTTTTATTTATCGTCAGACGACTGTCGTTCTAAACTTTATTTCTGTGGTCAGGACAAAAAAAAAAAGGAATTTGCGTCCTATTAAGGAAACGTACAAATTTTCGGGTTTCTCTTTATATAAAGATAAAAGAGAACATTATATCTTTCTTTTCAATCAACTTCCCATTGAATATCGTTAGAAAAATCTTGTTAAAATCATCCCGTGTGCAGCGCGACGTAACTGTTCCGTATATTGTCGCTGCTCCGGCACGACTCAGTTCAGCGGTAGACCTGTACTTCTTTTTTACGTGCTTCCAAGTTGATTGACTGTATTCGGTCTGCACTAAGCGCAAAGGGAAAATGATATAAATATACCGACGATAGCCGATTCACGACGATGGCCGAGATATATTAAGAAAATACTTATACTGTACTGAAAAATATCAATTATTTTTCAAATTTGTATAAGGCGTACATGTTATATTTAGAAATAGCCTCATTTTATGCGTTCACCCTAAAATACATATCATAACAATATAGATTTTTAAGACTCGCAGTTATTCAATAAAGAATTATCAGTAATCACAGTTTTCTTACCACAGAATGAGTTTATCTATTGCGTAATATCCGATTTAACAATAGCGATGGTAAACACAAAAACCGTTCGACTTAATTTCATGTAGATATAGTGAATGTCGTTTCGTCCGAGTTTCGGAGACAAAATAGTGAAAGAAGGTCGAGCTATGCCTTCCCCTATGGATGTCAACTGCAGCATGTGATACAAGTCACAAACACAGAGCGTGTAACCGCTCTTTTAAACTTGACAAATAGATGTAATTGGCTAGTTTAGGAGACAGAATTTCTTAAATTTGGTACGCCTCTTTTACATTCTGTGCCACTTTATATTCACACCTATAAAATTTGTATTTACTGCTCTGTACTAATTGTAAGGCAAAGTGTGAATAAATATTATTATTATTATTAAGTCATGTAGCAAAAAAATTCACAATTTTTTGTACCATCTTAAGACGTGCAGATAATCAAGGGTCACATGGTCGTTTAACACCGGGTGATATAATGATCAACCGTGCCCAATAATAAGTTACAGAGTATGCGGATTGTCTCTGGTTTGTCTCGGGCGCACACGTCACAAGGACTGGTGTGGAGGGGGCAACCGTCAACCTGGAGGCACGTGGTGGTGCGTAGGCGAGCCAAACGCCAATACGTTACTTCTTGTAGGAGCGGATACTAATAAGTCATACCTATGGTAAGAAACCTTTAACTATTGACAATCATACCATAACAACATATAAATTCAATTCATTTTTGGTGTTTCTTCAACAGTCATCGCCGATAGTTTATTTCAATATGGCGCAATTTCTTAAATACTAACGAGTGCTATATTCAACGTAATATATATTCATTATAAATATTTTAACGTACACACAATCACACATCAAGCTGTACAAACTATCATTGGTTCAAACTGCGAATTTGACCTCTTATGTAAGTGACGTAAGGTTTCTTTTTTAAATTTAAAAATAAATTTAGCTACGGTCGTACAATTTTCGATTTTCAGGTTTGTCAAATTCCTTGTTACACATGTGAAATGATTATGACCAAAGCACTTTTTAGCATTCTTATCTTACTTTAAAAATTTCACAATTCACAACCAATGAACTACCACTTACAATTGAAAACTACGGGAAAAGAGACATAGTTATCACAAATACATTTCTTGAAGGAAGATTTATGTGAAAACTTTGAGAAACCTTTGTTCCCGCAATGTCTTTTGTTAATATCTCTAAACATCGATAATATTTAACCGTTTCTATTCGCTATATGATAGCTTTTTGAAAGCACTACAAAAATGAATTTAAAACATAAAAAATCGACAACCATGACAGTAAACTCACTCACAACACTACAAAAGTTCCAGCACTACGTCGCGCTGACTTGCACTCTGGCACTGTAGCGTACACACATTTTGGTGTGACCACACCGTAGTGTGACTACACGGTAGTGTGTCAAAACCATAATGTGGACAAATAGTAGTGTAAGAACACTTTAGTACACCTACAACGCAGTGTGACTTCACCGTAGTGTGACGACACTATAGTGTAAGTAAACTTTAGTGTGACTACACTGTAGCGTGACTACAGCGTAGTGTGACTACACCGTAGTGTAGTAATAGGGTGTTCGCTAGGATGGAGGTTGGAAATGCGTTACCAGAGTCTTCGTGGCCTTAGCAAGGTCGTAAGCCGCGGCCCTCACTTCGTGTAGTGGCGACGGTGCGTTACAGGCAAGTGTAACTTCTTCGCAAGCCACGCGAAGGTCAGTGAGTATTAGATTTAACTCGCGATTGGTGCTGGTCTGTAAAGAAGGCATATTTTAATATAACATTCTGTATCAATTCTACCACTCTTCAAACGTTACCTATTGCTGTCCTTTTTTAAATTACAAATTAGTGAAAGTGATGACAATATTTATACTTGTATAATTAGCTCAATCGTCAATATGAGCCAAAGTACGGATCGCGCGTCTTACGTAACATTCTCGCACAGTCTCGGGAATTCCCGCAGCTACGAGAGGATTCTCGTGTCTAATTTGTACGTTAAACAATTGACATAACGTTCATAATTCTATGTACCAATATTCAGCGCCAATATAAATTGAACTATAACTGTCGGTTGGATTCGGAGATACACACATCAAAAGTGTCTAGGGATCGAGAACGTTTTTGCTAATTACTGAAAATTTGGTTTTTTTAATGAAATTTTTTCAACGCCAATGGATTTTCTTTTTGGTCAATTTCATTTTTACATTCAAATTATAAAATTGACCAAAAAGAATGCATTGGTTAAAAAAAAATTTAAAAACCTGATTTTCTGTAAGAGGCAAGAAAGTGTCCTTGATCCCTAGACACTTTTGATGAGTGCATTATTACTATTGTGAATATAAGAATTTATATTCGGCGATTGTAGTATCTATTTACGAAGAGAAACTTTAATATTATCTTTAATTAACATATATAATATTAAACATTGTTAACATATAAAATATTTAACGACAATTTACATAAGTAATTTACAATTAGTTATGAATTATGTTTTTATTGCACCAATTTAAATTTAATTTTTCTACCCAATGTTGTAAAAATAATATCACACATTTTGTAAACATAGCGAGTTTCCGTAATTGGCCTTTGTACTGCTTAAACATTTTTGTCAAATAAGTTTAAGTATGCTGTTGAAACTTTGTTCATTAAAAAAAAAATATTTCGCAATGACAATTACACACGCGTTATATTTCCGAGAGCAACCCGCGATCACACACTATGACAGTCAGAAACCATACATTTTAATATAATTACTAGAATTTAAAAAATACGTTTGTTTAGCCATAAACAATTACCTAATTAATTTAACTGCCTCTGGCTGACCTGTTACCAAACTGGACTACTACACAGAAGTCCCGGGTTCGATTCCCGGGTCGGGAGAAATATTTACTTATTTACTAATTTGAAACATGGTTTCCCTAGTGCGGGGCTATGACGCACACACGTTATTATTGTTATTATTATTATTACCTGAGGGAAAATGAGCAGAAGCGAGTTGACAGCGTGCCTGATAACGTCTGCCCGTTCAGCCAGCCTCGGATGCTGGTCGCGTGCCGCGGCCCACAGCTCGGAGATGCCTCGCGTGACCCCCTCCGCGCGGCGCTGCACCAGCTCCGCCGTCGGCGGCGCGTCCAGCTCGCCCGCGCCCTCCAGGACGCTCTGCGTCAGCGAGCGGTCGAGGCTGCTGAGGGTCGTCAGCTGCAACCGTCCACGATATCGTCGGGGATAGTGCAATAACATTGGATTATGACTTTCCATTTCGGTAATTTAGTGGCCAAATCAAAACCGCGTAAATGTCGTGGCAACCAAATTAACGTGATTCACGGGAATCCATTGTTACCAGTCCGTAGAAAACATGAATTAATGCTTACTGTGCAAAAATGATTTTTCGTAAAAAACAAAAATGATTCGTAGCCATTGACTAAGTATAAACTAATGTATAATGCAAAAAAGAGTCAGTACATGGTGTTTGGGGTCAGCCATAAAACCTTGTTAAACGTTCCGCCTATTACATTAAACGGTGATCGTCTTGATATAGTCGAGCAGTTTAAATATCTCGGTCATCTGGTCGCTAGCGGTCTCAAAGATAATGCTGACATAGAGAGGGAGCGGAGGGCTTTATCGGTCAGAGCTAACATGATCGCCCGCAGGTTTGCTCGTAGTTCTCCTGCAGTTAAAGTTACACTTTTCTGTACATGTTTCTACATGTGTTGCCTGTCGGAGAAGTACTCTCAAAAGTCGTATGGGGCTCTCCGTGTCCAATACAATAATTCATTTAGCGCGTTGATGGGGCTGCCCCGGTACCGTAACTCCTCGGGTATGTTTGCAGCGGCGCAAGTCTATTGCACTGGTGAGCAGGATACGGGTCAGCTCTAACATCATCATACGCATGATAGCGGACAGGTTCGACTGTCCGTATATAAACCGCACTTGTCACTTGCATGTCATTACTAACACTTAGATCACAAGTAATTTTGTTGCTAACCATCTGCAGATATTAGTAAATTCAATTATGCATGTTCAATATTTTCGTTTTTAATTCCATTTATTATTTATTTATTTTTACATTTTATTATTGAAATAGCGAAACAAAAACTTTACATTACCTCTTTTGGAAAATTTGGTTTATTGCCGATACGCGCCTTTTATCAACACTACATACGCGGATTTGCACTATCCCGACGATATATGATATTAGTAGACTATGCCATGGACTCGCCATTGAAGAGCAGAATACCACAAAATTGCAACGGCACTTGAATAGTACTTCAATGGCTATCCATTGACAAGTCACGACAATTAACTTCTAGCAGAATACCGAACGTACAAAATCCTGCCATTAACATTCTTTCTACTTTAATTATTTCATATTTCGGAGCCATTGAAATAACAAAATAATAACGTTAAATCTCTCTCCTGTAAAATTTGGTTTACTGTAGATATGCGCCTGTTACATACCCTTCAAAACCGGAACGTGGTAATGCTTACATTACTCTGATGCTACTAAAAACTGTCAACCACCACCTGTTCGCACCAAGCGCTTTGCTACCTTCTTTCTAACGGCTACGGTAAAGAAACACGCTAATATATTTAGTAGCAGTAGAGTTCCCTGTGAAAGAGTTTGTCCAGGGAATGTGAGAATTGCTGTGTTCCGGTTTTGAAGGATAAGATAAGGGTGCTGGTGAAACTACAGGCACATGGGATTTGCTTAACTGTCATCTTTTTAAAGGCTGGATTTTAGATTTAAGTATTTAGTAATATTTAAAACAGGTAGTTCGAAATGTTGTCTATTACCTGAAAATATTCTCATATATTTAGAATCATATTCAAAAAGTACATTATAATATGACATAGTTATACAAAGAAGAACCAACCCACATCTCGAGTGAAATTGAGTTATGTATTTAGGTAGAACACCAGGCGTGTCCTTTACCCGCTAACAAAAGATCCTGGCAATATACCAAGCCAAAACAGAGAAAATAAAAATCCTTCAGGGTACCAACCCTAAATAAGTAACTTTTTAATAGCTAAAAAGAACCATGCTGGTTAACTTCATATAATGTATTTTTTTAAATATGCTAAATAGATCCATGTCACATGTACTGAAATACTGTAGATCTTTAGCGTTTTTATTATGAAAACTAGAATATGGTTCGCGTTAACTAAATAAAAAGATACATAATGTTTTCTATTTATTGCTATATAATATAATAGTTTCCCTATATCATTCTCAATGCTACACATAACTCAAGTTGTTTGTTTCAAATAACTTACCGATTTATTTCTTTAAACTGTTTTGACAAAAATCGAATTATCTCGAAAGTGACATTTTGTGGGTTGGTTCTGGTTTGCATAACTATGTCCATTTTACAACAAGCAACCAGTTAATGGGTCATAAAATACCTCATTGCGGTTTGTTTACATTTAATTAATAAAACAAACCTTTAATAGTATAAAAATTACTGAAGCGCCACAGATAAGCGGATTTGAAGGCGCACTTAAAAATACAAAAGTTTTTGGAGAGTCTAGTTTATTACCGCTATAGTTTATGTTCAAGTGGAATATTGAACTAACTATAGTGGAAGCTGTATTCTGAAACGCAATACTAAAAATGACGTATTGCAATAAAACATATCAGGGTATTTACTCCCGTTCCCGAAACAATTACTGTCACACATTGACCTAATAACCAATGGACGTCGGGTTCGCGCTAAAAAGTATCCGCATCCATAACAACAAAAATTAGTTACAAGCAAAATTAGGCAGTACTGCAATGACGTTACAATTTAAATCGAATGTTTTAGCTTTGTTTGTTGTTGAACGTTTGTATAGGTGAAATTCGGACATTTTTTCCGTGGTTTTTGTATTAGACCACCAACCATTTGTTGGTGGGTCAATGCTGTCAAATAAGTAATACTCGACCACATTAAAAAATCAATGTTAAGTATGAAGCTTCGTTTGCATCATGCCTGTTTTAATTTGGTCGAGTATTGCTTTTTTTTAACAGTAATTGTTTTGGGACGGATGTCTTTTTTTTCCTTAATGAATGGCTTGTGAGACTAACTTATTGTTTCAATTCTGCCAGTGTCCGTTACGTGTTAGTTTCATAAACATCATGGAGGGAGTGTTTAAGGAAAGTATGTTCGGTGACTCAAGAGAGAGTATCGAAGAAATTTTTGCACAAGTTGACCCTAGAACAAAGAGTTGACCGGCAAATGTAAGTGTCCAAGCTATACAGCGGGTGCGGCATCAGGACGCACGAATACCTACCTAATGTGATTTCCTTGGCCTTAAATACAGTAAATAGAGTTAAAAGTGTTTGTGTTTAATTTCGTGTTAAACAGTACGTCCATATTTAAAAAAATACAATAATACTAAACTTGTAAATTGCAGATTATCCCATCACAATTTTCTAGTATAATAAATTACGTATCTACTGTATAACCCATACAACCGACCTCGAGCTTATGAGAGACCCCAAATCCAAAGTTACAAGCAAATCAATAGTTAGGCCAATTATAACAATTTTAGTGTTATTTAGATACGTTCTAAGGTCACACCTTTACTTTCTACTAGGATTCTATACTACATCAAAGTTAGACTGTCACCACACTTATCTATACAGAAAAAGTTTATAACCATGTTACAAGAGTATCGTACTATCAAAGAAGCGAAACGTCTAACGCTTTTTGTTGTCAAGCCGATTCCACGTTAATAAGTGTGATGACTCCCTTAATCACATGCCAGAAGGTTGTTAAAACACATTTTACAGTAATTGATTGGTAGTTGTAATGTTATCTAACTGGGTGACGAAATACTTTTATAGATTTCTCATAGATTGATCATCTCTCACTAGATGGCGCTACGGCTAAAAAGTCGATGAAAACCAAATACAAAGATCCGACAACAAGCACATAGAAAAATTCGTGAGGTCCGCTGGTTCGTTCCGTGGCTTAGTTGGCATAGCGTCTGGCACGGTTTGCTAGAAGACGTCGGTTTGAATCCGGCCAGATCGAAGGAAGTGTTTGATCTTTGTATTAATAATTATAACTAGTAGAGTAATTTCACAAAAAAAAGAATTGAATATCAATTCAATACAAATTTGATTGTAAGTCTTTATTTCTCAGCTTTTATTTAAAAAAAAAATTTTTTTGAAAAAAAAAATCCGCGTATTTTTCAATCTATATTTACCTATAACAATTGCAGCGCCATACAGAGCTTTTGTCAATCCCAGTTGACAGAACAAGTCGTGCACCGGTGGTACTGTCACTAAGCTCGTCACCTTGAGACAAGTTATCAAGTCCCACGTGCCTGTAATTCACCAGCACCCTTACTTCCCTGGACGAACTCTATCACAAGGAGCTCAAACAAAAGCCTGCCCCTCAGGCTGAGATATAAAGTTGACAAGTCCCATGTGCTTTTAGGTTTACCAGCACCCTTATGGCATGTGATTGATCTATAGTCTATTCCAATCTATTGTACCAGAAAAGTAGACAAACACACCATTGACCCGACCATAGACAGTTTAGTGATGGCCAACTGTACTGCCAACTACAAATCGATTAATTAACTGAATGATTTGTTCTAAACTGCCTCCGTGGCCGAACGGTTACCATGCCGGACTGCCACGCAGAGGTCCCAGGTTCGATTCCCGGGCCGGGAGAAATGTTTGTATGGCTTACATTTATTTCTCTCGTGAGTTTGGGTGTAATTTGTGGTTGTCTATGTGTGTGTCCATGGCACCCGCGACACAGGGTTTCCCTAGTGCGGGGCTATGTTGAATGTGTGCGTTAATTGAATCAGTTGGAATAACCGGGTTTTGTATAATAAAATGGGTTTTGCGATTTTGCTGCTGATTACTATAAAAAAATATGTGATTCAATACTGACGGGTGATATTTACACTTTCGCGTTGCATTGTACTACCATTTGGAAACGGGAATAAACGCGTTTACATACGAATGGGTATTTTTCTCACCTACCTAGTTTCCCGACGTTTCGGCCAGGTTGCACTGGCCGTGGCCGTGGTCACGGGCTGACTGTGATGTGTGGTGATATTTCATACAAGAGATTAGAATTTTTTTCTTACATAACCTATAATAGCAAATTTAAAATTTCCGAAATCTAATTTTAAAACCTCCTTCAAATCTTACACTTAGATATTCGTTGGATTGCAATAAAATTTTCGACTCGAAATTACAAAAATCGATTACAAAAACCTTAATTGAATGAACCGAATGACTTATTTCCGTACAGCCCTATGCAACCATAACTATTCAGAAATCTATATTTCGACCCCTCCGACGTAAAATATTGATACGAAATTGCCGAGTTTACAGAGGAGCCTTTTAAATATTCTGAATTCACTGAAATAAGCACAATATGTGACTTTAGCATTTCTCAGTTTTATTCGACAAAGCTCGTTACTCACATAGAGTATTATAAAATCCTAGATATCGGCTAGATGATGTATTAGATGATCACTCTATTTGAGTAACAAGCTTTGCCGAATAAAACGGAGAACTTTAAAATGCTTCTCTGTAAGCTTGGCAATTTCGACATACGATACTTTACGTAGGAGGGGTCGATTTAATAACTAACCTCACTGTTGTGAACTAACATTTTCCAAATAAGATTTTAATATGTTATTCAAATGAATATTACTGGAAAAAGTGATGAGATATCAAGTAGAAATTTTCAAAATATAGGTGAAAATGTTACTTATTGTATTTATTGAGTGATTACTTTAGAATTTTAACCAAACTGGTTTGTTTACCTTTCTGGCATAATGGATTGGAACAAACTTTAAAAACTACAGTAAAAAGTAAATTAGTAAAATATTAGTACCTGATGTTTAGTAACCTGCCAGTTATTCTTTGGTCCCTCTCTAGTCTCATACATACTGACCGGTCTTTGCGTACATTTCAACTGCTTCGCATCGTCTTCGGACTTCGTCAATTCTGTATCAAGACTTTTCCCCCTCTCCTGGGGTTTCGATTCCGCGTTGCCATTGGTAGATTCGACTAGTGACGTCACACTCTCGTCGTCAATCGAGCTGGTTTTCAAAACGCTGTTCTCTTTAGTTAATTGTTCGACTATGGATTGTAAGTTTTTTAATTGATTCTTGAGTTCGGTTATTGTGGAGTCTCTGCTGTTGAGTTCTTTTTTTAAGGACTCTATTTCTTGCGGGTGAGCGTCGGTTTGGGCGTGACTTGGCGATCGGCGTACGTCGAAATCAGTGCTTTGCGTTGGTAGGGAAGCATTGTACATGGATGACACTGTCTCGCCTGACCGAGGAACAATATTCATCTGTAACAGCGAAAAGAATTTTAACTATACATTAGGGACGTATCAGGTCTTATTTGTCTCGTACACCACGTGTATTTTTTATAGACCCCGTGACTTGGCGATACTCAATTTACGAACTCGTCAACTTCAAATCGATACCTCCAAGAACACTAAGCCAACTTAATTTTTGGACCTGTTCTGTTTTTATTTGGTTTTTTCTTTTTTTTTACAAAATTAGTTTTTTTTTTTTGTTCTTGTTTCTTTTTTTCACAGAATTCGGGGAGGGATAAGATTATATTTATATTAAACCGCCATATTTATTTACTAAGGCAAATAAATATGGCTGTTTACAAAAATAACAGAAGACGACCAAAAAATAAAGATGGCGTAGTGTTCATTGGAGGTGTCGAAATGTGTTTGACAGAGCTACTCGCATAGACAGGGTTAACTGTATTGAGAAACTGGAAAATACATAGCTGCCATAGAGACATTTATGTGGATTATTCCATTTATGGAAAGTGAAAATTTTGCTCACGGCCTGCCGAAATGGATTCCGTTTCTATGAAAAATCATTTGATTAAATTTAACAAACTTCTGCTGTCCCGATTTTTTTCCTTACATAAAACTGAGTCGACCAGTACTAAAAGAAATTTTATTCATTTTTATGGACAACTCAGACTTGACCAAAAAATTGGCTATGCCAAAATTGTTTTCACGAAAAAAGACTTAATGGTTCCTAAGACAAGTTTCCTTGTATCTCCTACGGTTTCTTTTTACCCATACAGTCCATTTAAAAAAAAACACTGCATAGTAAAACATAACAAAAAAACACACCGAATTATTCCGTCAATATGTGTAAATCAGCAGTAATACAACAAATCACAAAAAATGCACATAGAGCTCTCTTACGTCCAAGTCGATGGGTGCTAGAGCCGCATAATCGTCGTCTGACGCCACGGAGTCGTACAGAGGCTCGTCGTCTGACATCTGCGATATGTGCTTCAGGTGGCTTGCACACAGGAGAGGGTTTATCAGAGGACCAGTTGGAGCTGGAAATGACACAACATTGCAAGTATTTTCTTTACGTAACACAGAAATGATTCAATGCTGCCAGTACATCACTAATTGTAATAATTAGTTGCAAATGTAGTTTTGATTAGCGTACGTATTGTAGTTATATAGATAGATAAGTACTTTATTCACTAGTATGATACAAATACAGATTGAATACAATACGAAAAAAAAAAATTTTGTTATAGCAGTGAAATGGCGCTGACGCAGCATATGCCTAAGCTCCCTAAGGCACTGTTTTCAGTCAGAACCAACGAGAGGTACTAAAGGACTAGGAGGGAAATTGTTCACTAAAATAATAAATGTAATAAAGTGTGAATAGTGCATCTAAAGT